CAGTAACGGGGCTTTATCGACGCGCTCCGGGGACCCTTCTGCTGAACGGCAGCTACAGATCCCTGCCTCCGGCCGTCTTCTCCCCGCCGGGAATGGGATGCGGGCTGGGGTCTCCTCTGCCACCCCCCCTTGTTCCTCCGCGTCTGCTCCTTTCAGTCTCCAACGTGGGAGAGGGACACTGCCACGCTTCCCAGGCACCTGGCATTGGCAGCATGAGCGGAAACCCACGGGAAGGCATGGCTGGAACTCCAGCGTGCTGCGGGAATTCCCAGTTAACGCACCGCTGACAGGATGTTCCCATCACTAAACCAACCCTCCCCCAAGCCATGGAGCCCCCCACCCCAACATGTGTGAGAGACACCGGTGTGGGTGAACCTGAAGAAAGTCCTTTCTTGACAAAACTGATGTCAGAGCTTGTTTTCTGACCAGAGGATTTTGTCTTCCATGCTCATGACTATCCTACTCAAGCAGCCACCGCTGCTCCTCTTTGACCGTATCCAAAACCCTTCCTAGCAACCAAGATTTGAAGGTTTCTTCCTATGTGGAAAACGCAGAAATGAGGCACTTTAGCAACATAAGCAGACCTCCTGTACACCTTCCCTCAGCCCCGTACACACGAGCAAAGGCAGTGGAGAGGAACTTCACGGGGCTGGAGGGTCTCCACCTGGACAACCATGCTCCAAGCATCCCACCACAGAGCAGTAGTATCACCCTGGGCGTAAGCACAAGGAGATAACAAACACCTCACCCAGCACATACCCTGCGTGTGGCTGACGACAGCGTCCCACAGTGGAGGAAGTCCCCACCCCGGCAGGAAATCACTGCCAGGGCCGCCTCCATCACTGCTACCTGGCAGAGGCAGTGTGGCATGATGAAAACAGGAAGGCAAAAGCAGTTTGAGAAAGAAATACTGCACCAGGCTCCCTCCTTCTCCACAAGTGAAGAGAAGAGAAAAGAAGAAGTGAAAAGAGAAGGCTGCGAGGGGACCTTATAAATGCTTACAAATATCTGAAGGGTGGGTGTCAGGAGGATGGGGCCAAACTCTTTTCAGTGGTGCCCAGTGACAGGATAAGGGGCAATGGGCACAAACTGAGGCACAGGAAGTTCCGTCTGAACATGAGGAAGAACTTCTTCACTCTGAGGGTGACGGAGCACTGGAACAGGCTACCCAGGGAGGTTGTGGAGTCTCCTTCTCCAGCGATATTCAAGACCCGCCTGGACAAGGTCCTCTACAGCCTACTGTAGGTGACCCTGCTTCGGCAGGAGGGTTGGACTAGATGACCCACAGAGGTCCCTTCCAACCCCTAACATACTGTGATTCTGTGATTCTGTGGGAGCAGGCCCTGCCTCCCGTCCACGGAGGAGGACTCAATTCTCAGCAGAAGGCTCTAAGGCCAGGCAGAACGCAGTTCGGTAACTCCACTCAGCAGCTGCCGAACGCTCGCTGTACTTTCAAAGTGCTCATCTCTGGGTCTCCACGACTTCGCGGGCACCCTGGCGCTATGTCAGCACACAGACAGAGGTTAAATGATTGTTTGTCCTCCGGGGAAATCAATCCCTCCAGGGATCACGACTGCTCTGAAGTCCCAGGCTCCTTGGCCTGCTCCCCGTTCATCAGACCGCCTCTGCCACACAGCTGAATGCGATCCCAGCAAAAACCCATCTTTCATCCCAAATGTCTACTCATTTCCCAAAGGTCTTCTCAAATTTGGGGATGATGAAGCCCTTCATCCCCAAAGTTAGCCAAGTGTAGCAACCACTCGGAGTTTTTCCACTTCTATTTGCCTTCAGCCGGAACACGGGAAGGATTAAGTGTGCCTTGCACCTCTGTTCAGCCTACCACCCTCACATCACCTACCAAAGGCATCTGCCCAGCAAAGGATACACAACGTCCTGATGTTTGACACAAGGGCTCCTCTGTCCCAGGAGACGCTCCAGCAAGGTCTGAACGGTCCCTGGCTGCACCGGCTCCACCTGGCAACCACTGCTCTGAACCTGAGCAGTCAGTCAGAAGAAAGAATGACTTCCAGACCAACAGGAAACTGTTGGGCTTGTTCCTTCACACCTCTCTCTTTCATCTCCACACAGGGCAATACGACCTTCAAACTCTGATCTGGGGACAATCAAGAGGCCGCCCAATACGATGACACAGTGTAGGCAGCTGCTGGCATCACTCTGTTTCCCATTTCACCATACATCCCTCAAGGCAGTAGCCCAAGCTAGCAGCTGCAGGTTTCCTCTTCATCTTACTACAATCTCCTCAAAGGAAGTTTATGGCTCCCCATCAAAGGCTAAAGCAACCCCCCAGGGATCCCCTTCTCATTCTCCTAGGCAGTCGCCGTTCTCTTACCTGACAAAGGAAGAGGTGAAGAGCACGAGACGTGGCCTCAGGCAGCTCTGCTAAGTTGGCTTCTGTTGCCTCCTGCAGAATCTGGCTAATTTCTTTTTGAGAAATAATATTGCTGCTTTGATACCTCAGAAACTTGAACAAAGGAAAAAATAGAGGCATTAAATAGTGAAAGACCCACAGACTTCCAACAGTGACTCATCTCCTGGAAAGATCTCTTCTATGTAATGGGATGCTGCAGCACCTTAACCACAGGCCTGATTTTTATATCACTTCTAATAGAACCAGTGCAAATATCTGGGCTGACAGTGCTCTGATTTATATCCAGACTTATTTTGGTTTAGGTCTGGAAGGAGCTGAAATGGAACAGGTAACCTTTAAAAAGTGAAATAAAGATTCACAGGCCCATCATGTATTTGGAGGGGGAAGGCTGACGCTAACAACCCCCTCCTCTCATCCACTCCCATAAGGGGTTTATGTCCAGTATTTCTGCCGGGTAGGACCACGTTCCATCTCCTGCTCGCAGGCCCCAGGTACAGCAGGGCAGAAGGTTGCAGTACTCCTTGCCCTGAAAAGACAGGTCTGTGAGGTCAAAGACGGGGAGACGAGCTGTGAAGCCAAGCAGAGCTCTGCTCTCCAGGGAGCCGCAGCATGCTCCCTGACTGGCAACAGCAGTTGCATGTTCCCTGCAGGTTTCCCCTCTCCTCCCCAGCGGTCCTAGATGATATAAATAAATGCTGCAAACACCAGAAGAACAGGACGTGCTCACTAACAGCAGCCAGTTGCTGCAGGGCGTGGAAGGGAAGTTCACTTGCAAGTATCACTATTACAGGCCACGAATATGCTGACAGACAAAGCCACGGCAGTATCTGAGATGGTGTGTGCGTAGGGGGTAAGTCCCAATAACCAACCCACATGCCCTGTACCAACACACTGGAAAAAATGGAGAACACCCTGCCCTTCCCCTGCTCACCAAAGTCATCAGCCTGAGAACTTCTGGCTGCAGAAAGGATTTCTGGCCCCCATTGAGTAGCGTGAAGAGCAGGAATCGGTGCCAGGGCTGTGAAGCAACGTGTAGAGCTGGGAGAGAAGGAGAAGCCAATAGAAGACAGCTTTAAAACTGGCCAAGTGACAGGCTGGACCCGGACAAGGACAGTCTTTAACAGTGAGCCCGAGTTTTCTCTTCTATACCCCACGCTGTGAAACACTAAGGGAATATTTTGCTCTGTTCTTACTTGCTTTCTAATCTGTCACTCTTTGGGGAAGAGTTTAGTCATGAGGAGAAAAATTTCGTGGCTTTTTAAAGCAGAAAATAGATTTTGTCCATCTTTGTGCTGGTAGAGGGAAGAGAAACCTTCTCCTGGGGTGCATGTCATAAAACAGTAAGGGGATATATTTAGCCTAGGGTTTTAAAAATAATACCCTCTGGTTTCAATATGAGGACAAGTTTCCAGACTACGGGTTTTATATAGCTGCAGAATACCCTTTGGGGAATGAAGAAAGCCTTACAACATCAGCTGCACAAACCAAGCCTGGATCTGCATCAGAGCACGTACTATGGGGACCAGCCAGGCTGATGGCAGCAGTGCAAACCATCAGCAGAGAAAATGTTCTTAATAAGGAACACATACGACAGAGGCAAGGCTCAGGGTCACCATCTGTGACAGCATGAAGTCTCACTGAACGCTAAAGTTAAGTGTTACTACCTTGTATTTATTGCAGGTTAGGAGCATGGGATGGACAACTACAACAGGTCAGCTGATATAACTTGTTATACCATGGCAACTCACCAGGGTTTTAGAAAGGTCCCTTTTCCACTGGCAGTCACGTAACCTCCCTATTGCCACTACAAGGATCTTTTCTATGGGAAAACGACACTAAAAAAAATAATCATGTAAAATGTTTGGAGGCAATCTTTTAGCTGGTGGAAATGAGAAAGTACCAGCACTGTGCACTGAGCCTGCTCTGCACATCTGGAAAAATCTCTGGACCAAGAGAGGGTTTTAGAAAGCCTCAAATGAGGCAACTCCTAGAGGCAGAGTCCAGGCCACACTCTTTGCAGTGTTCTTGCATCTTTCAGTTAAACATAGCTACAACCCTCACTCTGCCTGGGATAAGGAGACTCCTGTTAACGTTGTTGTGAACTTCTGCACCACAGCAAGAATTAAGGCAGCCAAAGCGATAGGTTCAGCTCTGGCTGAAGCAGCATTTCATTAGCTTAATCCCAAATCAGCAGAACCTCCTTCCACTTTTTTTTTTTTTTTTTTTTTTCCCAGCCTTTTAATAGCCTCCCTTCAGCTACTGGCTGTCATTCATCTGCAGTATTACATCTTCATTCAACCGCTTCCTCTCTCCCACCAGTGTCCCTTTTGTCTGGTGTTCATTCACTCCATCCCCTTCTCTCTTAGTGTTTAAATGACTGAATTGAACAGGCCAGGGTACAGAGCACTTTCAGTCTGTTTTAAGATCAGAGCCAGCACCTGGACTTTGTGGCAGGAGGCTGACAATAAGCAGAAGGGTTTATTCTTCCCTCTGCCTGTAAAACACTGTCATATGATGTTATTTTGCTAACATGGTATACATTAGGTCTGACATGGACTCCTAGAAACCAAGGTCTGCATTTGCCCCTGGAAATCTAGAATTTCCTGCTTCCATTCCTCAAGGCTGCCTGGGACCCTGTTCTCCCTTCCCCTCCCTCAGGGCCAAACTGTGACCAACGCTGTCCGTGTGGAAGACGCATCATATTCAGATCCTCTCTCCCCTATATTTATGGTCTAAAGGTTTGCTGCAAATGGCCTCGAAGTGAAAGACTATTCCTGTACTCCTTCCACTCCTAAACCTTTCACTCTTACCATATCAGAGGGTGGGGAATGACTTTTTTCCGTCTGGAAAGCATCTTGGTGTCCAGAGCCAAAGCGAGGGCTCATGCCTACAGGGGAGCCAAGAACTGTGACTTCATGCCACAAAGCACATGATTAACTTTAGGCACACAAATAATTTTTCTTGTTGGGCATAAACTCATTAAGCATCTGCTCCAGGGCACTACTGGATGGAGATCAAAGAGCTCAAAATCACTGCAGGAGGGAAACCCAGGAGAAGAAAGAGCAGAAAGACTTTACCAACATCCTGGTTCTTCACATAGAGGTATTCCACTAAGGTTTCCAGGCAGGCAACCACAGCTTGAGAGAGCAGCAAGTGTTTCTGGAATACCAAGAGGGGGGAAAAAAAGGGAAAAAAACCTCCAGTCAACAGCTATTGCAAGAGGAAAATTCATAAAGTGGCAGGACCTGAAGAGCATGCAGCACAGGCAAACGACACCCTTCATCTCCTTCACGGGATGCAACATGCTGCAAATTATCTGCCACATCAAGAAGCCAGACAAAGACACGACTACTTATTCTGAGACTAAAAATAAAATAATTAAGTAACATCCTCCAAAGAACAAAGCTGGGACCCCAGCATCGCTTGAGTTAAATGTAAACCAACGTACTACCCCTGGAGCCCAACATCACTTGAGCAAGTTAAATGCTGACATACTACCCCCCAAAAGCACCTTGCCAGGGGCGTGGGGGAAGGACTGGGATTTGTTACACTTTTCCCACCTCTGTCCCTACGGGTGTGGTGTTCCTGCAGAGCAGGAGATGGGAAAACAGAGACCATCATTAGTACACAGAATTTCAGCTATCCAGTTCAGCAGCAGGGAGTACCACATAGCTTGATTTACCTTCCTTCTCACTGTACCATGCTGCAGCAAGAGCATTTTCCCTCCCCCTCATCACATGTCTGTAAGGGGTGGAAAATGCACGCAGAAGAAGAAAAAAAAGGCAGCTCCTTAGGTTCTGCAACAGGGTGGTTTCTCCTCAGGTTAGTGTACCTGCTTGAAGCCCAACGCTAGTGTTACTCCAAAAAGTCGTATTTTGTATACCTGCAACTGGACATGCACCAAAAGGTTCTGCAGACTGACAACAATCGAGAAGACCTGCTGCGTGGAGAGCGGGTGCAACGCAGCATCCTGCAGCGACGATGGCTGTGGCTGCGTAGCACCTTGGGCTGAGTTTTGGCCAACAATCACCAGCAGAGAGGAGGAGAAGTTCTGTCGCAGGACAGCTCTCAGGAACTGCATGATGCTCACTAGACAGGGAGCCGCTTATTAGCGTGTGTCAGGGTTTCTGTCCCCCCTACCCCACGCGTTGGTGCCTATGCAATAGCACAGGAGAAGCGAGGAAAGAGAATTTGGACTTCAGGGCCCGGTGGAGTTGCCCAGCAGCTGCTAACAGCTGCAGGCAGGAAGGGCAACATGATTTCCCTTGTTCATCTCCTCCCTGTGAGACAGTATCCCAGCTCACACCCAGTTCCAGATGTCCCTACCATCCTACAAGGAAGATCTGTGCAAACACAGCAGGACTCCAGGCAGTTCCCTTTTGCCCTTTCTCACCACCAGTTACGTACTCTCAAAGCCAAACGCACCAAAGCTTCCAGATTCCCACCAGCACCTCCACCATCCCATCCATCCCATAGTCACCAGCTCTCCCTCGCTGCCTGTAACCTGGTACTAGCAGCTGCTTCCAGTCAAATCCCTGTAACGGATGCAAAATACCTAACAGCAGGATCGGCTGCTTCTTCCTGAAGATGACTGCATTCAGGACTTCTGTTAGGTCTAGAGAGAGCGTCTGGTGAACCTAGAGGAGAATGAAATAGAAGAGGGAAAAACGGTGCTGGTTTGGACCAGGTAAAAAGCTCCTTTACATACTTTCAGTCCTCAGACACTACCCCATGATGACCACTGAAATACACGGGAACAGCAACAGGAGAGTCACACCACTGGGCCCTCAAGTTTCACTCACCACCAGCTGCCAGCCCTGCGCAGCTTCCAAACCACAGTGCAAGCCATTTGCCTGTCTTTCTGTCCCCGCTCCCTGCAGGGCCTCTGGCACTAGCAGCAGCGGGAACAGCCACCACCAAACACGGCCGTACCTTAGCCACACAGTCAGTCAGCAAGACTGAGGAGCCAGGCAGCCAAAAGCCAGCAGTGACAAGAATCTGTCCCTGCCTGCTGCGGCTGGGAAGCCTGCAGAGAGCCCAGGGCTAGGAACTACGGTAGGGGTGAAGGAGGCAGAGGAGGTGAGGGACCTGGGAGCTAGGGGAAACGGGAAACGTGGGCTTGAGAGGGCAGTTTGCAATACACTGTTTCCCTCGGAGAGCAGCCATCCAGCAACGACGGCATGAGGCCTCACAGAGCCTCAGAAGGGTTCAAGCTCTTTCTGTAAGGCAGAGACTCGGCATGGGAGGGCAGGCCACAGGGCTGATTCCTTCAAACCATCTTCTGAAATGTTCAACGGGAGAGCTAGGACTACCTGCTGCAACAGGGTGGCAGTGGGTACTTGTCTAAGAACTGACAAGCCAAAGCCTTCAATAGCCTACCATCCACGCCCCACGTTTATCCACAGGCTTGTGCTAAAACCAGTAGCAGCAACACAGTTAAGATGCATGCTTGCTATTGCCAGACAAGTCCTCACTATTAACATCAGCCTGAGATGAATGTGGCCATTTCTCGGAGCCATTGCTCCCCTCTAAAAAAACACAGGCTTGGGCAGACAGCCTGGCATCAGCTCTCATTCACAGCCACAAAGGCCAAACGCTGAGCTACAAGGGCCTCCAGGATGCTTTGTGCAGCTTCAGCTATACTGAGCAATGGAAAGCAGCAAGAGAAGTGAGTCTTCCTGTTACTGCCTCTCCTTCCCTCTCAGCAGAAGATCAGAAACGCTGAAGCAGCCCTGAACCACTTCCATTTGCCACCTGTATCTGTAGTTTCTTTCCCCACCTCTGGTGCAAGAAGGATTCTGGATTGCACATCATAGCATGCCGAGCCAGTAAGGTACTGATGAAGCCAAATAACATGTTTATAAGCCACTAAATGATTGCATTTCAAGGGTCAATACGAGCTGAGAGCGCCACTCCCAAAAGATGAAGCTCAACACTAGCCACTAGAATTGAATCCTTCTAGGGACTGGCACAACATTGACCACCCAGACACAGCCCTGCCTTGGAAGCTGAGTAGGTAAATTGTGCTTAGCAGTTAACAGAGCAGGGACAGGCAGGTCTTGCTATGCATTCACACAGGTGACAGCCCGTACAAGTCCCATGCTGTAAGACCTAAGCAGAGGCAGCACACCTGTGAAGTAACAGGTGTAGACATGGTCTGGGTTGGCCTTTTCGAAAACGTCTTCCCTCAGCATTAGAAAACCAACCCTTGCTTCTCTGTGCAGATGCACGCATGTCCTTGATGTGATTTTATCACCTGCAAAGAGGTGCACTGACTCCCAAAGCACATACCGTGCTGGGCATCACTGGAAGAGCAGAGCTCACAACTCAGGACATGCTGTTCAACTCCATACCAAGAGAGCGACAGAGGCCTGGGTGGATACTCTAAAAGGGAACGTTGTGCCCTTGTGTTGGCATTAGAAAGTGCTTCCCTCAAAACTGTAATTCCAGTATCAGCTGACAACTCCAGCTTAGCTCCTTGTCGGACTGCAAAGCATCAAATACAATGACAGCTGCCCACATTCATAAGGGCTTGCTAATACTGAACACCGACTTGCCGATAATAGGTTTGGATTGTGACGGTTCCACTATTGATCATTTTAGTATCAAAAAAGCAGTTTACAACATAGGACCTTGTCTCCCACTCCCAGCCTTCCCTTAAGGAAGGCCTTAAAATGTATTTAGCTCTGTCCTGAAGGGGAAAGTGATTCGGATCAGGAGGGCTGGGCATGCACTTTACCCCCAGGATTTCTGCCCCACTCTAACTCTCCAATGATGTGGGTCTCAGCCTTCAGCAACATGCCAGCTTCCAGTCCTGCTGGAGAAGTGTAGCAGGGAATAACTCACGGACAATAACAAAAGAGCAACCAAGGCAAGCAGATTCCAGACCAAAGCAAACCACTTTCCTCTGATAATCATTATTTTTTTTAATTTTGTTTTTTTAAGGTTTAGCCATTCCCTGGATCTGAACACTAGACTGGTTCTAACCTCGATATTGTAGCGATGCTGATAAAGTAAGAGGGACGCAACCAACAGCCATGCAGAGCACAGCAAGGCATCCTCGGACGACAGGCAAGCAGGTTCAGAGGGAGGGGACCGCAACCAGGTGCACTCCAAAACCTTCTGCAGGAGCTCTAGCAAGGACACATTGGAGAGCAGCACAGCCACTGCTGTGAGGGAGAAACATAAACAGAGAGGCTGATGGGTCAGCACAGGTTAAACCAGCTTGACAAGCAGAAGAGAAGTGCAGAGCGCGCCCCTGCTGCAGTGAGGCAGCCCCAGCTGCCACGGCTCATCAGAGTAAGGCTGTCCCGCTACACTGGTATTCATCTCCCACAGCACAAGCGACCGCTCGGCCAGCTAATAAAATGACCAGCCTTCAGCTAACACAGCTGGAAGGTTGGCTAGAGCTGTTCTCTATTATTGTTAATTTTTTGAACCATGGCAATACCAGGACATTTCAAACAACGCACCAAAGCCCCACTGCTGTGTTTTATGAACAAGAAAAATACAGTGGTTCTGTCTCTCAGCAGCCAATTCCTGAATCATCACAAGGCAGCAAAACCAAAACAAAACAAACCAAATCTCTCAACCTAAAAAACCTCATCCCAAATACAAAATAGCCTTTGTTAACTGTAATGCTGTGTCTGGAAGGGGAAAAATCCACCTTACCTGCTGAGACAGTTAGAATACAGTCTCTGATGGCCAAGCTACAATCTCGCTGAGATTAATTTAGCAATCAATACAATCTTGCCTCACCTCTCTGCTGACTACAGGGTGTTGTCTGATGAAGGCTCCAGTACAGAAAATTCAAGGATGGCTGCAGGAGGTCAGTGTCCCTCGGCCTGCATTTCCCACAGAGATTACTGACTGGAAACAAAAGAACGTGCATAACACAGACACCAACATAACAGAGCACCTCAGCACAAGAAAGAAGTCAGTCAGCAGGGAGAAAATTAGCACAAAAGCAACACAACCTGTTGTGAAAATAAACAGAGCATGGTACAGACAAAGCAATAGGCATCTGCCCTAGAGTGTTTGCTTTAGACCAGACAGTACAGGGGAGGATGATAACGGGGAGGGGGGAATAGAGAAGGGTATATTAAAGGGCACATATCACACTGGGCAGTAATGAATCCAAGAGCAACAGACTGTAAGTTACCTGCTTCCACAGAGCGAGTTTGATCCTAATACTAGGTCACCATAAACACCTGTCTCACATGGTGACCAGACTGGGGAATGGCACGGAGAGCTGCGCTCCTCCACTCTCACCAACGCTGCTCGCACCAGGAATAAACGCGCCATGTTTCTTGTCAGCACCAAACACTTAGGAACAGTGTTTAGCAAGAGTTTGGGAGGGAAATCCAGGACTGCAGGACTCAGCAAAATTGTCACAGAAGATCTTCTGAAGATCTTAAAGTCTGAGTGAGCAATTCTCAAAAAAACACATATCAACACCCCTCCCCCCATCCCTTCCATCTACAAGCTGGTTTCTCATCATCAAAGGAGAGCGCCCTGCACACCCACCCCTGAAGAACATAGCCTGGGGAGCCAACCAGGGAATACAGCACATCAGCAATACTGTCACGTGCCAAGTCAACAACAGTCACAAACCCTGAAATCATGTCACGACAGCAGAATACTTTGGCCACCTTGTGAGGTTTCAGACAACAAATGTACTGTAAAAGCAAGAGGCAGAGACCTGCATTTTGTTGACCGAGGTGGTAACCAGGGCTCTTTACAATGCTCTGGCTATTAAAGTATCTCAAAGCAACCATAACTGCAATGCAAGGTACGCCTTCTCTCAAAGGACAAAGAGCCAGCCCCTAATGATCCCATGGAACAATTAACAAACACAGATCAAAGCCCCCTGGGAGAAGATGGATGCACAGACTCACCCTGGTGAAGTAGCTTGAAGTCTGTGCTGTCCAGCTCCCTCACACCCTTGCTCCGCAGCTGCACCAGGAAAAGGAGGCTCAGCAAAACAGGCAGGTTCCTGTTAGCTAAGAAGGGCGCAGACAGCTTAGGTTGTCAGTGAACTCTAAACTGTTGTACCTTAAAGCATGCCAAGAATTGTTCATCTTCCAGCTCAGGAATGAGGGTGGGTTAAGGGAGGAAGTATTCCCCCTTTAAACACAAGCACACACACAGTCCCAGCTTAATTCTCATCTCTACAGTCCCCTCTGGATCAGGACCTCTTTCTGCCACCGTCGGTTGGCCTGAGTTACACACTGGATCCTACCAACACCGTTCTAGGAACAACTAGCAAAGAGGGGGAGACAAGGACGCTAAGGTCTTTTACACCCCTAGTGAACCACATAAGGGGCATGGTCACCACACATTCAGATTGACAGCTCTAACAAGCTAGAAGCCACCGGGCCCTTTGCAGACTGCCCTCTTCCCATCTACTTGAGCATCACCAGCAGCCCATGCTTTGACAGCAGCCCAGCACCTCAGAGCGCTCAGCTGCACAGCATTTGTTCTCCAGCATCTTGTGCGCCCGGAAAATGCTGTCCATCTTATCCTGCTCCACAGGGCAGAGCAGAGACAGTAGAGGTGAGAGCCCCATGGCATGTCTGTACGTGAGGAGAATGAAGCAGCTCAGACCACCAATTCCCCAGGGCAAGCCCTTCCCTAGTCTATTCACTCTTCTGCAGCATGGTAAACAGGTAAAGATTTTGCATTGTATATAGCCATACCTACAGCAAGCAACTATGGCCTCCAGAAAATGTCTTCTGGTCCCTGTGCCCTGGGAACCAAGTGTACTCAGACACACCGAACCGTTTTGCACAGAGAAGAGGCGAAAAAGGAGGATGTCTTTCAGTCACCAGCTGAGCCCCTGTTCCAGCTGGGAGATTTACCAGCACAGCTCTCCACTTGAACACTTAACGACAGTATGAGAAAACCTTGCCTTGGTTTAACAATCACAGTTTGAAGCCAGAACAACCTAAATCAGCAAAGGACTCTCTCACTTCAGAACAAGCATCTCTGGAGCAGGAAACTAAATCATCACAGTTCTGCCCGTGAATTTCCTCATGCAGATAAGTACCGAAGCTTCATCAGCAGTTCAAAACCACTTTATCCCAGACTGCATCCCTTCAGCCGTCTACTCTGCTAGTTGATCTCACAGCAAGACCAAGTCACAGAGGACAGTCACCTTGTAAAGAGGCTGAGCTGCTCTCTACCAGCAGCTGCTGCAGAATCTGTAGGAACTGACTTCGGAGGAGGTCACAGACAAGGACATCTTCATTTTTTTCCAGAAAGGTCTTTAGAGTTGTCAACACCTTCCAAGCCACCTCCACAGAGCCTGAGCAGACCAGGTCCTGTGAGGGAAGAAGGACACACATTACCTTTCTGTCCCTTCTGATCAGGCAGATCTGTTCTGATCTGTTACCTTCTGATCAGGCAGAAGTCACTGCTATTTAATACTATTCTGCTAATCTGGTGCCTTGGGAAACAGCCTAATAAAGCACCGTTCAGACGAAGTATGTCCTGATTAAATACAGAACTGAATAAAGCTCATCTGATACTGAACTCTCATCTGATAGGCGCCTCTGAGTAACATCCCATTTAAAGAATGCATTTGTCTAACTCCCATCCAGCACACAGTTGTAGGGGTAACATACATTTAAGGTCAAGGTTTTGGAGAAGTGAGATCCTAAAGCCAGGACCCTGTTTCCAAGAGGACAGAGCCTCTGGCACTTCTTCTCTCCTTGTTGTTTTGAAAAATCATGTTGCATACTGAAGATGCTTACCTAAAATCAAGCTTATGAGTCAGTTCATAGTTACTCATTTTCAAAAGGCTGGCAGCCCTGTATCTGCAGTAGCAACATAACAGCTAAACTGCATGAAACGTACATAAACCAGACAAGCAATCACTCAGTCACAGAAAATGGAAGAGTCGTGTACACAGCATTCAGCCCACGAACCTGCCTCTTGACTACAGAGCTCTGCCTGGAGTCTCTGAGCTGAATCCCACAGCCAGTAGCCTTAATTTGGGCACACTTTTGTTGTTAAAGTGTGTAATATTAAATTCATCTGCACAGCACGTACAGATGCAGTTCCATAAAGATCAGGCAGAAAATGCCTGGTAGTGCTGACATAATATGGTCGTCTCAACACATATTAGATCAGCAATACCTTTTCTCTCCTCCTCCGGTAGTCCTGGCTACTGCATTGCCAATGGTACAGCTCAAAGAGGTAAACAGAAAACAGGCCTCAGCAACCAAGCCTACAGCCTGCCAGGACAGCCTACAGCCATTTCCAGCTGCCTGCCCCCATCACACAGCAGTCACGCATACAGACTGGGATCACGGAGGGGAAGTGGCTGTGGGACCCCACACATAAGGAAAGCAGTTAAGGTAAGAACAGGCTGCCTGTGTCAGAAAAACCTCTCTAGTTCTGAGCCTGATTCCTGCTCACACCTGAGATGTTCAGAAAGAAGGGGCAGGGAGCTGTCTGCACAGTCGGCTCTGCTGACATAGAGCTGCTCCATATAACATTCAGGAATGTAACCTAACGTCAGTCAGCCTGTCTCCTTTCTCTGAGAGAGCAGCTCAGATCTGGAGCGTGGCGAAGACAAGTGGGACAGTGTGTGATCACGAGCACATTCACACCCAGATGAACACACAGCACAAAATGGCACTAAAGAAGGGCCACAGCCTTCCTGGTCCTGGTAAATACATCGCTGTGTTAACATCTTCCTTCCTACTCAAGACCTCAAGGTCTCAGACGAAGCCACTAACCATCTGCTCTATCTAATCCAGACAATTATTAAAAGCAGACAAGCAAATAAATAATCCTTGGAAGGACATTAATTCTTGTTTCACTGTACCATGCAGAGGCCTTTCCATTTTACTAGTGCATTCTCAGGCTGAGGTTATTCACCTCGTAAGTTTTGTTTATATCTGACAGTACATTTATCCCAGGACATTGCACTGTTTTATTTGCCCATCTAAATTCAGATTGATTATGCGCTTCCCCAACTGAAAGGTGAATTGTCAAAGCCTGTGATTTATTACAACTCACTTTAAAGACCGGGACAGAGCTAAATTAGTTTATTTCTGCAAGAGCACACAGCAAGACAGAAAAGGGAAAGTGGGAATGCTGTACCATTCAGGGAAGGAGCCACTGTTTCTCTTTTGCTTATTGATAGACCTGTGATGTATGCATCTGCTTTGGTTTATGGAGTGATAGGTTCCAGAACTACTGCCAAAGGTAACAGCATAGGCAAGTCTCATGGGACACTTCTCCTTAGTTTGTCCTTATATTTCAATTCACTGATCACTTTTACTAATGGTCTGCACTGGTATCAAATGCCTGGATGTTGCTACCTACTCTGCAATAACACCTTAACTGTGAAAGAACTGCCCTACGCGACAGCCCTCCTGTCAGTCATTTCAGTAACCTGGGATATTAAAATTTACTTCACAGCCTCTTAGTTCAGAACAAATACATGCCAGTCTGTAACGCCCAGCGGCTGCCCACTCAGAATCAGACCTTGCTTCTCCACTGTCTGCTGACGTGAGCTTCTGTTCTCAATGATACATAGTTTTAATTTCTCTAACAGGCTGTAGACGAAAAATCAGAGCTCTTAGCTTTTGTGCTTACAGGCAAATCTGACCTTCTTGTGTGGCAATGTTAGCAACTATTTACTATGTGACTGGCTGAGCAGTCACGGGACAAGTGGCCACTGATGGGGAAGGGTGACGGGGCAGCTGGGAGAGGTGGAAGTGAGAGCAGTCCTCTGAGCAGCCATCAGGACCTGGATTCTGTCAGGATTACATAGGTTAGCAGAGCTCATTACGCCAGCCAAAGTCAAACACACTAGTCCTGCGACTTCCATGCCCCTTTCTCCCCTGCGCTAATTTTCCTTGTCCCAAGATTTTTATTTTATCTTTTAAGAGCAATAAAACGTGCTGTTTGCAGTCCTGAAAACTCAAGAGTACTGCAAAAATCTCCGACAAGACTCTCCAGTGAAAAATCAACAAAAATCAAACCCCAAGCAAACAGAAAGCTGTGCCTGCAAAACCTGTTCTCTGCACGCTGCTTTTTCGAAGTTCTTTGTTCCTCATTCCCTTCTCATCTATCAGTAGTAAACCATGGCTCCCAAATTAGCAAAACAGCTTCTCAAAAGGCTGCCACAGACGAATCTGGAGTACCCAGCTGTATACCCGGATAGAGAAAGGAATGGGTTTTTCATGGCATGCGTTGGCAGCACCCTTCAGATCCCTTCCTAGCCAAGCCTCAAAAGATCCCTTTCTATTGCAGTGGATGGATGACAGAGAAAGAGCTAACACACGTACACAGTCCCATCTTCCATGTCAGGCTTCCTTGGGAGGTGGAAGACCCACAGGCCCTTCTGGCAGAATCCTTGGCCTCATAACAGTACTAAGTGCTTTAAGAACCAAAAATCCCCCTAAATCAGGACCAGGACAGCATCCCGTTCTTGTGAGTGTCACGTACCAGTAAAATAAGTAAAATGCTGGAATTGCTCTTCAGAATGGGAAGTAAAGGGTTAGCACTGTTCAGCTGATCAGACACACCAAAACCAGCTTCTTCAGTCTCAGTTTGCTCACAGTCTCCCCAGGAAAACCAGAGTTGTACACCAAGCTCAGACTGGGAAGATTATCCAGGATCCTCCTTATGGTACACAACGACCTCTGTGTAAGTATGTGGGAGGGAAAGGGGGAGGGGGAGAGAGAACAAAATAATCACTAGATACGGAATATTGAAAAGCTGAAGCGATGAGAGTTTACTGTGAGAAACAGTCACACTGCCTTCTAAGTAGACAATCAAATACATCAGTTAAACATCATTTTGTGAAGCCCATTTGCATCACAAAGGCTAAGAAACTTGTGGGCTTTATACAGTGCTCAAAGCTGTGCAGTAGCAAAGAGCCATATGAGAACACTAGAAAGCCTGCTGCAGAGGCTGTGGATGTGTTCAGGAGACTGAAGCTATGAATTTTATTATATTCCGTACGTGAATTCACAGCCTATCCAAAGCATTTACACTTCCCACACATACACAAGTTTACTCAGTCAAATCTATATTCCCTAGTGGCTTTTCACAGTCAACTTTCCAGAGTGTGGATGCACTGCACACTCTTCACTCATTCACTGCTCACCACGCCGCCTATGTCAAAATACTTTCTGCAAGAGGGTTTTGGGAGTGGGGAGAAACCTTAGTTTCTACAAAAAAGGTCCAAGAGGTAGGAATGAAATCTTCTTTTACCGAGTCCAGGGCTTTGCCTTTGTCCTGACAGACAGCAAGGAGGTAAAGCGCAGCTCTGAGTATGTATGGAGGTGGACAGTCTCCACAGTCCTGTGCTGACAGGAGGAAATTTCTTATGGCTAAAAATAATTCTGCTTCTGGGACAAACCTGCATTCAAGGAGATTTGAGTGGAAACAATAACATTAGACATGCCTTACCCACCGATACGTGGTACATAATGGCCACAAAACTACTTGTCTTGTATACTCTTGGCTCACCTGTCCTCAAGGGTGTAGGCAAAGTATAAGAGGAGTATGAAGCAGTGTTGGTGACTGCAAAGGGACTGATCCAAAGAGAAGGGCTCAGGGGTTTCAGCCAGGAGGAGAACGCTTTCAGCTATGGTGTAGTTTAATTGAGGCAGATCCTTCTGCAGGAGCTCAGATATCTCTTGCTCTAGAAATAACACTAATATGAGCAGGCAGGCAGTGATGTGGAATGTCTATGACAAAGCAGAGTGGAACAGGGGGATGGAAGCCTCTGCTTGCCCTACCTCAAGCACATTAAATTAGGGAAGCTCCTAATGTAAGAAGTATCAGAGCCAGCCTACTACCCCACACTCTGCATACAGCAAGCGCACCTCTGTGATTAGGCATGAACAGAGGTGTGAGATCTGATTTAATGGAGCTGGCTTTGAGGATGAAAAGACACTTCTGTTTGAGGTTCCCAGCTCTTTGCTTATGCTGCCTGTATGGTGACCAACCACTGCCAGTGGGAAAAGTGGCTTTTGTGATGTGGAAGCTTTCATCTTATCTGTTTGGCACTTACCTATTATGGAAAGTTACGGTATAGACAGGAAAGTTTTATAGAGTATGCCAGAGGAAAAAATTACCTTAATCTGCAGATATGGGTGACCATGTGGCAAGTAATATTGTTTCAATTAAGCCACGCACAGTTGTGCTAATAAATGTCACCATGTAAACAAAACCATAGGCAGATGCAAGACATTCTTGCAGGTAGGGTTCCAAACTCTTCGAAAGGCATTCTCTGAGTGTCATCTCCTTGGTGGAGCAGCATAAAAAAAAAAAAGCTGGGAAAAAATATCTCTAAATAAAGCTTATGTTTGTCCTCTCTTCCCTTCTCCTTTGTCGCTTTTCTTTTTAATTATTTTTGCACCTTCTGCCTAAATAGAGGGTGGGAGGGCCTGAAATTAAATGAAGCAATTTGTCTCTTTCCCCAAACTTGCCTTCCTGAGAAGAAGTTCTCTCCTTCTCTGTGGCAGAGTAAAGGCTCAGGCACAAGTTGCAGAGGAAGCTGGAACAGGCCTGATTCAAGGCAGGATTACTGTGAAGAAGAGCAGAAACATACAGTGATGAAGGCTTGAAGCATCCTCTTCATACTTCTAATATCACACGCTCTCTGCCAGAACCTCCATTTACTGAATGATCACATACAAGCAACAAGACTCCAGGAACCAACCTGGGTTTGCAGGAAAATGAGTTGTTCTCAAAGCACAGTCAGCTCACAGACGTGGCGGGCAGGCGCCATGACGACAGTGAGCGTGTCCACATACCTCGGGACAATATGAATGCAGGGGGGTCCTCTCACAATCATCATGCCTGGTATACAAAGGGAGTCCTGTAAGGGCGGGACCCCTAACAGTCCAGAGGATGGAAGGGGTTTGGGGTGGCTCCCAATACCTGATTCCACTGGCAAACACCAATAAGGAGATTTTGGAGCAATGTGTTTTCAGGGAGGAAGATGAAGAATGCCAAAATGTTAACTAAAAGGGGGAGAAGAGCTCTATTTCCAGGTATTTCTCTTTCTCTCCAATTGATTTCTTTGCTGAATAGGACATAACCAAACCTCTTTGCACTGTAACACACCACCCTTGGCGCCTCACGCTACTGTATTCAGAGGCAAAGATCACTCCTACACATCATTCACAGGCGCAAACATCCCCACTCTAAGTTCCACAGTGGTAACATGGACTAGGGGTGCCGTGTATTTTGTTTACTCTTTTAGTGAGATGCAGTCACAGGAAACAGGAGGTAAAACATCTCTGGAGACCCACAGAGAATCTCCCCAAGTGCTCCTCAACCTAGAAATCATAGCCTCTGCTACAGAAGACCCTTTGCAATGTCTGCTGTTGAAGTCTTCCTCCTCCCTCCCATTTCTTACACATTATCATACCACAAGAAAAAAAGACAGTGGTAATATGTGCCTAGGAAGCCAGAGCTCAGATGGAACTGATGCTACTGTTAATTCTTTTCAAAACACCCACTGACTTGACTACTCCAAAATCAGGCTGCTTTATCTCGATCTGCACATCTGACAATGGAGCACGGAATTCTCACAACACTGTGTAAATCCACTTGCCTCCTACCTGACTGCTTCGCCCTTCTCCCACATCCAGCTTTTCCATTGCCAGTTATCATTTACATTTCGCAGTAAGATACAACCATTCCTGAATCTTTCAGCCTCCTGTCTTGCCTAATCAGGTGCATTAGATAAGGCACGATCTGCTTTCCCATCTGGAAATTTTTGACTCACAATACACACACATCACAATACCTTTGTACAGAGCAAAATCTGGCCTTCAGCTCCAGTGTCAGTCGGATGAAGGAGGAGGATGCTAGACAGAAAGCGAGACAGAAATGTCGAAGGAGCATGGAACATGTACAGTGAGAGAAAAGAGTAGGCAGGTCCCATAACCACCCTCACGCATCTCCGTGGAAACCTGGTGAACAGGGCAGGCCATCGCAGTAAGAACACATTTGTTAGGCTTTCTCTCCCAAAGCAAACTACTCCGAGTTTGGTTTGGAGGGGAGTATCTGAGATTCGTTTGTTTTCTCCAGAGAAGAAGGGAAGATTTGCCAGCTTCCCTGTTTAGAATAGAGGAATTCTATACATTTTCTCTCTGACGTGCAAAGAGTAAGGGATATACAGAGTAAATAGGATTTCTGCATAGTAAAATCCTACGAACAATTCCAGCATGATCCCTGTCTACAGGAACAGACAGTTCTGAATATTGCAGAGGCAAGGGTAAAGCTGACACCATTTACTGATCTCAGATAAAATCTGTCCCATCACCATTGCGAGACCAAATAATAACTTTTTCATCCAGCTAAACATGACTGTGCACTCTATTCCTACTCATATAAACGTGTAATATAATGTGCCACATAAAGTCTTGTTAAGATAACTGCCTCAATAATATGCAGTAGCAGCGAGTTCCATCAGTTCAGAGCACAGAGGACATGATCCCACACTACCCCCATACCCAGCTTTTTGGAGAACTTATTCCGCATGTTTGGCACCACTGTAAAGAGGGTATTAAGCGTTGAGATGAAAACCTCCATCACTGACGGGCTGACAGCCGTTTCCAGGTAGATCTGTGGAGAGAAGAAAAGAATCAGGTGCGTGATACACAACAAACACTGAAAGCAACAGCTTGCTTTCAGCCTCCTGCCCATCCAGAAAGTTAGATTTCTAAATCCACGCAAATGGAGTAACAGTTCTTCTACCAAAATGCCTGGCAGCAAATACACAGGCTTACAGAGCACTTTGAAAGCAACCAACACTCCCCTCTGCCAGTGTTGAGCTGTGCTGCTAACTCTGCAAGACATTACATCAAACAAGCAACTTCTTCCCGATTCCAGTTGGCAACCAGTTAGGCCCCAATGCACAGCAACTGGCACTACTGCCCGTACTACCCTGGGCATAACTGCTCTCACAGGTCAGATGGCTAATTCTCCAGCGTGGCATGCAACGTAGGACATATGCTTAAGTGCAGCTGACTTCAGTAACACTTAACACCATTTTACTGAGTAGTGGCTAACACAGGCTTTTAGCTCTCTACAGAGTCCAGCCCTAAACTGTTTAGAACGACTCAATCCACTCTTGTTGAAGGTCACTGGACAATTTTCTCGCAGCCCATTAATTTTTACCGAAGTTCAACGAGCAAGAAACAGCACACTGACTCCAGCTTTGCGAAACTGGACATGCGTTGCACCCTCCCTTCAGGGAGGAAAACACCAATGCCACTGCAGCTGCCTACCAAGAGATTGGTTAAAAAATACAAAACAAAACATCTCCAAGCTCCCAACAACTGCAAGAATCCATACACCTGAACCTGTGGCAAAGCACAAGCAAAATATATTCAACATTTAGAACCACAACCAGAGCCCCATTGTTTTGACAATTGCTCAACGTGCCTTAGTGACAGGTCTGCATGAAGCACTAAAGCACACACAACTCTCCATGGCTGCTTTTTAAACCGTGTCCCTGGCCTTACTAAGGCACAATGCTTAGTACTGCCCTGGCTGTGTAGACTGGGCAGCCTCCTCAATGCCTTCTGGAAGGAATTGTGAAAATGAAGTTGCGGGCACAAAACACTGCTGCTGCCTGGGACACAGGCAACTTTTGAAAAAGTGGCAGAAGGAGAAACAACTTCAGGCACTCTTCATTTTCTGCACCATCCAGAACTGCCATGGAATAGATAGCATGGCAGGTAGGCTACGGGGATTGCACAGTTTGAAGAAAGACACTGCCACCTACATGGAAGCTTTATGAATTCCTCGACCCTCTGAGACCATACACTCCCATTTTGCGTGAATTGTATAATGCCACATTTGGCTCTGAAGAGGTGGCAAATGCCACAGCTGTTCTTGGTTTACTCTACGTGCTCTCTTCCCCCAAAAAAACCCCACTTGTGCAACCCACTCTTGGTGCTTGAAAGCACCTTTCTAGGTACCCAAGGAACAGACCAAGTTCAAAAGAAACCCTACCACGACCATGGGGATGAGGAGACTGTCACAAATCCTCAACAGGAACTCAGAGAAGTTGCTCAGCGTGTCCTTACTCTCAGAGTTGGGGGCTGTGAAAGCGTTCTCCTGGGCCATGGGTTCACTCTGGAATTCCACAGCTAACCTACAAACACACAGTGGATACCAGAGGAGTGAGGAATTATCCTCACTCTGTAAAGGAAGTCAGGAGATACTACATTTCCATCACAACTTTCACCATTAAGGACTCCACAAACACTTGATGGCTTGGAAATACAGGAATCTGGCAATCACACAGAGTTACCTCTTGAGTGAAGCTATTAGAAGCCAGCAATGTTGCACAACAATACAAGTTGGGAAAGGAAGGCTTAGTTTCTGTGAAGAAAGTATCTGCTGTGGGAAGCCCTAGTGTGGCTAGGTTCTCAGCCAGGTCAAAGTGCCTGGAGCACAACACAGCAAACGTCGTGAAAATCAGCCAGGCAACCATTCAGCTGATCTGAAAACCATGACAGAATCCAAGTGCCCTCTAACACCACCCCAAGACACTGGATCAGTGCAGACAGGGACACCTGCTGCTGACGGAATTATCTCAGCCAAGCCAATGCAAGCAATGCAAGGCAAAATAACTAAGCTGGCCAGACCTCCCTATCAACACATCCAGATTCACACACAAACTCATCTACCACCGTCTGCTGTGCAGCTAAGAGTGACAGACAGCTCTCCTCCAGCAAAACAGGAAAAGTTGGTGCCTATAAACCCACTTGCAGAAACAGGTCACAGACTTGAGCAAATCCAAGGCCAGTATCTGGAGCAGATACACTCTTGTAAAATGGTTAATTCCCCCTGACAGTGAGACCACATACCCCAGAGCACAGGAATATGGTTTCACACATACCTTCCAACAGATCTTACATGGCCAGTAGCTTGGGCTAATCTTCAAGCTGTTCCTCAAAGGCCAAAGACATGAAATTAACTGATAGGTCCCAGGCAAATTTACTGGGAGACACACAGGTGTCACAAAATTTTCACTGTCACTACATACCCCTCCTTCTGTCGTTTCGCAGACAAGTGCCATACACTGAACTCACCTGTGATATTTCAGTGGTGGGTTGTGTAGAGGTACTCAGTTACAAGGACAGAAGGATGGATGGACAGGGACAAACACACAGCACCCATCCCCCCCCCCCCCACCTCCCACCGCCCCCCCCCCCCCCCCCCCAACTTGCCCTCACCTGCAAGCATTTCTGAAACTTTCCAGGGTGTTGAGCAACAACTGTCCCTGTCTCTGAGGAACTCTGCTGAGATTTCTGTTTGCTGGGTGACTCTGAGACACTGAAAATAGGCGATCACTCTGTTTAAGGAGAGAAGTCTTTAAAATCTTTGTTTACTGCTGGAGAAATAGCTTTCTTCTCTGATACCAGCAGCAAGAGGAACAACAGATTTCAATTCACTTCTTTCACATAACTGTTTTTTCACTACTGTGCTTTCGCCAGGGAAGGCAGTTAGGGAGTTTTTGTGCTCTTCCTAGGGAGAATGGAGTTGCAGAGCTACTAGTTCTGCACTGCCCTATCTTTACAGTCTGTACTGCCATGGTTTGGTTTAATCTGAGTTTTAAACAGCTCAGCTAATGCATCTTCAAACCTTTCTAGGAAAATTTGGCATTTTTTTAAAATTTTGTTTCTTCCAATTACTCTTCAGACAACACTGAAGAATTCCCTTCCTTGCTCAGTACTGAAATCTTAGCAGTTCTCTACGTTGGCTCAGATTAGTAAGCAACTATCCATGTACTAGCTCTTGTTCCCACACAGCATCCTACTGAGTTCAGCCAGAAGTGAACTGCAGCATCAGAGCTAATCACTTGCCCAAACTGGGAACCACTCGGAATTCCAAGTCTGCCTTTAAGCCTTAACCTGTTGCAGTGGTCTTCTCCAAATCTTACCAGAGCAGAGCACGGCGAGACATCGGTGCCTGGAAGTTCAGAACTCCTCCTCCATTTGATGCTTAGATATCTTAGTACAGGTACAATCATTTCCCCTTTTCTCCCTTGAAAGACAACCTGGATGTCGTTACTATCTGCCTAATTCCCTTCCTGTGATGTTCCTTATTCTGAATGGGACACCAAGCTCTGTGTGTGTGCAAACTGACCAACATCTGCCTATGGGGAAGAAAGCAGTTCTGCCTTCTCCAGGAAGAGAAGACAGACATCTGGTACCACAGAACTTGCGCCTAAAGATAGTTCATCAGGCATTTGGAGTTCTGGTACTCCAGCAAGATGCTCTTGCCACTACAGACATACGATCTAAACATACGTCGCTCTAACCCTAGAGCAAGAAGGCTCAGCCCTTGTCTTTTCACTAGCCATCTGTAATGGGGGCTCTCCTCAGAAGTGCGTAGGTCCCAGCAGCGCATCACACTAACTACTCATCCCAGGAACAGGAAAGGATTTGCAGTTCAAAGAGTGGCTAACAGCTCCCTTGCTGAGGCATCACAGTGCATATATGATGACCTTCTTGGTCTGAAGGCACAGAAAGAGATGTTCACTGCCACAAAAACAGATTGACCAACACAGCATACAAGGTGGGGGCCTGAAGAAGGGGAAGTTGAAATGACTTTGGAGTACTGGACGCATAAAGAGAGCAGCGTGCTCAAGTGGTGCCCCACAAATCTTCACTGATTTAGAAAGACAACACTCACCAGCATCCATCTTCAGCTACTTCAAAGACAAAGATTGGAACCGTCTCAAGGCATGAGGATCAAAAGAAGCACCAGAGAACACAACAGCCCCAGGGTAAGGGACGGAACATACACACAACATCTACATAGTGTGCTAGGAGGATCGTCCCTGTCCTGCTTGGTCCTACCAACAAGCAACAACAACTTTTGACTTACTGTATGCCTCTTGCTACTCTGTGGTGGGGAAAGGTCAGCACACCGCTTCAGCACTGCCTCCAGCAGCTTCTGCAGCTCTTCATATGGGACCGGAGGGGAGCTCAGATGGTCCTTCCTGAACAGGTGGAGAGGAAGATGGCATGCACATTCCCTGCTGGGGACATTCCACTGGGAGGGCAACACCAGCAGAAATAACTGCTTTTCTGAGAGCAATATGCCATTGCCACTTCTCTCCAGCACAGCATACTAAGGTCACAGTATCTGAACGGTGCCTTCTTCCACCTGTGTGCCCAAACACACCCTCACTGCATTCATTGTCCGCTCCCACTACAGTCAGGAAGCAGACGACCGTACAGAGCCTTATGCTTGTTCTTATCTAGACGGGGCACGGAGTGACAAAGCCACAGCAGCCGCAGTGCAAGCCTGCCTGGGACGCTAGGTCCTTGCTGCAGCGACTTGCTTCCTACCACAGCTTCATCGCCCTGGCAGCCTTTTGAGGCGGGTGGGAAGCTAGCTCTGCTGTACCCACGCCTGTCTCAGCCAGAAGCCCTCCCACACGGCACACTCACCCACACAGCCACAGGGGAGCCACAGAGACCGGCATGGTCTCAACAGATCTATCTGAAGAAAAGCCTGCAAATACTTCCCTGCCTACCTCAGGAAAGCTGCCACAGCTCTCACAGCCTCCACTACCACCTCCAGCACTGGGCAGTTCACTGTCTCCATCAAAACTTCAATGGCTTCTATACATACACCTCGGTTTGTGAATAATTTAATTTCCACTGGTTGCCTGCAAAGAGGAAACAGTAAACACGGAGAAAATTGTCAGAGTTAAGTAACCATAGTGCCCTCTCCTCATTTTACTGAGCCATGTGGTTCCAGCCATGCTTTTCAGTATTCAGAGCCAGCTGCTCTCAAGGAGGTAGTCTCAAACTTGAGCAGGTGGAGGGTTTGCTACAAAGAGTGAACCTCAGCAGGTCTGGAGCCCCACTGTGATAAAAAAAACCCCACAGTCTGGGTAACTATGTGACTGCACCAGTGAACACTGACATGAAAAGCACAAGAAAAACAGGCTTTGCAAAATACAGTGATCTCTGCCTAGGACTTTATGCTGAGGCCATCTGCTCTTGCATTTGCAGGTTCATCTAGCAATTCACATTTCTGAGTAAACAAGTAAACACCACCATCCTAGAACAAGGACGATGCCATGAGAACAGCTTCTCTCATAGTCCTATGGCACTTCTAATGCCAGATGCTGCCAGAAGGACAAGGATTTTCATGAACTTGAAATGTAATCAGGAAAATAAACACAACTCAACTCTTTTGACAATTCTTCTTGATAATGACCATTTTGGTCGTCTGATCACCTTGTGGCCCAACACCTTTGAGCATTCAGGACGAGAGCATGGAAGGATGACAAGCCGTTAATCCCATTATTGGACAGAGCTATGTAAATGGCAGACTGTCCTCATTTGGCTCCTGGCAAGTCAGGTGCAGTCAGGAAGGCAGGGGGAATACAGGCAGCTACAAGCAGACAAGAGGCACTCATGGCCTGCCAGAGGGCCCCTCCGAAGTGAAACAAGAAAAGCAGCACAGCGTGACAGGAGCCAGACCCATGAGCCAAAAGTATTCCCTGTTATTCAGTTTTCACAGATGTGCCTGACTAAAGCAAGATAGGAGCACATGCTCCCATGCACAAATGGGAGAGGAAAGCGAACTTCAGTAGAAATTATACTAGTATCCCAGCTACAGGGCAAAAAGTGAACAGAGGCAGAACCACTCTTTTTAGTCACTCAGTGGGATGAAACCCAGCTTGGCAGTCACCTCACTTTCTGCTGTGAGAAGAAGCTGTGAGGTGTGCAAGGCAAGGAAAAGGCCTTGTGAAACCCGGGCACCAGCAGCAGCCTCTGGCCCAAGCCATGAGTGATGTGCTAAACTCCCAAATTGTTTCTACTTATACTGTAATTCTATTAATCCTCTATATTTCCTTTCTTTAATCACTGACCTTCTGAATTAAAACACTTCAGGGAAAAAAAAAGTCTTCACTGACTCATGCAGGGAGGAAGGGATGGAGGAGTATTGCTGACTCACTCAAGAGGCACAAACCCACTTGCAATATGGTGTACTATGCTGTCTTCGGGGCCTGAGAGAAAAGCGTGAAGGACAGCACTCTTGCAGCTTCCTGCAGCTTCTCGTCTTTGAGCCCCAAACTGTGCCTGCCACTCCGGCTGTGCTGGGAGAGACAAGGGGCACCCCAGGGAGAGCTACCACCATTCCTGACATACTGCCATGGGGAGCAGCACATCCTGCTTGCACAACACCAGAGTGTGGGTCTCGCTTACACAAGAGAATCCAGCTGCAAGGAAAAACCAAAAGGAGAGGTTCCAGGTCGAGACCCCTTTCCCCACTATGAGATACTTTTAAATAAAACATCATTTCTAAGGCAAAGCTCAGAGAAACAAAACGGGTGTGCTAGATAATGAGAGTAATTGCACAGAGCATTCTCTTTGTTTTACAAGCATAAATGCTGTAATTAGTGTTCCCCACATCCTGGTTTCTCTTTTTGACAGATCCCACACTGGCAGCATCACACTGTTCTAGCACTGCTGTTTTTCCTTCTCCTTTTTACCCTGCCACTTGCTACAGAATTGACTATGACATTTCCAAAATTCAGCTCAAGGGCTCTCTTGGGGGAATTAAGTAGCAAAAACAAGACTCTGTCAGTAGCATGACAGGATGGGAACAAGATCATGGAGGCAAGAACAGGAAGCACAGAATAAAAACAAGCCAGGGTATGTTATTCCTCAGCAGAAAGCAAGAGGAAAAAAGTGACAGAAGACATTAATATTTCAGCCTAGAATTTGTTTTTGCTGTTTGAACTTAGCTCAGATGATGGTACAAGACTAGAAACCATGGAATTTGCAAGCTCTGTTTTGTCACAGAGGTGCACTTAGCAGGAGCTGGCCTGCACACATATGCCTGGACCTTCCTAGCCTTCCCTCCTGGTCTATCTTTCACCTCCCAGACGGGGAAGGAAGCAGGAAGAGGCAGATATACTGGTGGATGCACGTGCCAAGAGGACAAGCTGGGAGGTTCGGAATCAACCATCAGGCCCTTCTTCCCAAGAATAAGGGAGATGCATTTGTTCAGCAACATCTTTCATATGCAGAGGCTCTAGAGGTGCAGATATTTGCTCTCAGACAAAAACCTAATAAACAAAAGCACCACAGCCTCAATTCTGGGGCATCAAACTCTGCCTGTGCAAGCCTGACGGGAGTACTCTCTTACCGTTTCAGTATTTCGGTGAAGAGCAGGAGTCCTTGTTTGTGCAGCTCCAGATTGTTCAGCTGCAGGACATCTCGGAGACTCCTCACCAGAGATTCAATGCCTGCACACGTTCAAGAGAAGTCACAGAGAGGGCTTTTAACACACCAAATTCCAGAATGGACGCAAAATTATTTTTTAAAAGAAAGGAAGATTTGAACAACTATTCTTCTGAGCCACTGACAGAGACAACTGCCCAAAACTGCTGAGTTTTCACTCAGCTCGCTAATAGCAGGACCCAACCTCTACTGCTGGAGGTAAGTCCAGAATAATGGAAGGAATTTAGCCTTTCTTCCTATATCCACTCTTTGCATGTCCACAGAAACATGTAATAGTGACTTAGCTACTGTCAGTCATGATAACTGGTTATTATAACGAATGCATGCTCATTGGGAACTCATTAGAAGAGTGACACTGTAAATTCAAGCTATGTTGGACATCATAAACATATCTGATAGGCACTCATTTTCAGTCCTTTATCCACCCTGACTGGAAATTGTGATTGTGCGTAAAGCACTGAAATTCAGCTAGAGGCACAACAAATGCCCACAGTATTACTGCAGTCACTCTGTCAGAAAGGCTGATGACTCACCATAGACGGTGTGACACTTCGAGAAGAAAATACGCTCTTCAGTTAGGAGCAGCAGGCAGCAATACACTGACCAGATGAGAATTTCACTGTTGCACGAGAGGCACTCAAACAGGAATTCTGCAAAGGCACGCACGCACACACACAAATAAGATCGCCCTGGTAAGAGGCAGTCTGCTCACAGCATGGCACAGCTGCTCCTAGAACAGAGCAGAGGAAGGAGGAGGAAACGAGGAAGCGTAGCAACAGCCACAGGGAGAACGGCTGTATTATCAAATGGCAGGAACGGAGAACGGAGTGGGTGCTTGGGGGTACGCGAGTCTTCAAAACAAGGTGACTGGAGAGCAGAGTCCCGCAGGCAGGCATCTTCCCAGCACAAACTCAGCAGGCTAGAGCTGAAGTGTAGCTCTAGCCTTTGGCACAAATGAAAAGCCACAAAGCAAGCTTTACCACAGATGCAGTGATCCTTGTTTTCCTCAGAACTTTTACATCTCCCAAAGAATTTGTAAAATGAAAGCATTTCTGTCCTCTGGGATTACAGAGAAATAATAAACCAGATTCTGCGCAAACTTACAATATTTATTGGGATAAGATGGAACCCCAGTTTATTTAGGCTTGTATCTAAGGTCCTGCAAGAAGGACCTTGACCTCAAAGACTTGTCCAAATTCTTGCTGTGAAAACTCCATTCTGCCTGTTGACAGCTGCTTCTATACTTTCAGTTGAAAACTTACTTTCCTATTCCTAAAATCCCATTAGCCATTTTTACTGGTACCAAATGGTCACCGTACACATTATGCCACCAGTGGATTTCATGGAGCCAGACTGATTCCTAAAACAAACAGCCAGAGAGTGCTTTGATATTGGGAGATGAACAGTAAGATGCTACTGCATTTCTTCACCTGGGACATCCGCATGGATAAAAGCAGGAGCATATCTGCTGGGAGAGTGAACCAGCACTGCAGCCACACAGTGAGAACTTGCTGCCTGTAACATCTCATCTCTGGTCAACAAAAGCTGTTGGAAAACAAAAGTCAAAATGAGAGAGGAAGTCAGCTATGCAGATATAAGCAGGAAACAGTTTCCTCTACATTTTCAAACTTAAAACATAAATTAAGATCTCTCTTTTGGCATGCATTTCACCGATTACACCTGCTTAGGCAACATAAAACACTGGACCAAATACACTCAAAAAAATGCAAAATGAGAACCACAACAGAGAAGATTGTGAGTAAGAATAGCTCTGCCCCTGTGCCTAGCCACGCTGGCACTGCAAGTGCTGTATCAGACCTCAGGTGTGAGTGAGTAAAATCAGCTGAGGCCAGGAGTAAAATTTCCCCCTTCCAGGATGCAGGAATGAACAAGGAGGTGATCTATGGGGATGTCCCCATTTACCACTGCAGCCTCTATTGCTCGTGTTGGCAACAGCATACTCAAGTCCCTCAGATAAAGATTCAATACAGGCCAGCAAATTCTTTACGTCTACCGACAATTCACTACTACTTCAGCAATCACCTTTTTCAGAACAAGTGGCAATGGATTTTCCCCTTCTAAAAAGTCAGGGTTCTCAGACTCCTCCTCAGTCTTTGAATTATTCATAAGAATGGATACCAAATGGTCAGATTTCAGCAGCTCCTTTAGCAAACCTGTAAAAGGGGGAGCAAGGGTGAGCACCGTGCTGGGCATGGGAAGGGTTATATTAACACAGGAGTATTTACAGACTAAGGCTTGTTGCCAACTTCCTCCCCTTTCCTGCACTCCTAACAAAGGCCCTCACCTCCAGTTTAGGGAGCTGCTTCTCACTGTGTCCCCAGATACCGCCTTGGCCCCACGTCTTGCAACCCCTTGTTGCTGATGCTTTTTGCTGGGTCTGATCTGCTCGCTGTTCCGCTCAGAGACGTACATGTGCGTTTGTGCATGATCTCAGCAGCACTCTACTTGCATCATCTTCTGTGCTCCAGTACCCACCCGTTAAACTGTTTCTTGGGAGAGCTCCTGACCTGCATTTTTCTCCAAGCTAGAGTCAGTGACCCAACAATAACCAGACATTTTCCCTGGAATACTTCCTAGAGAACTGACATTTATCTTCCCCTTGTACTTTTAGAGGTTCTTACTGAAACAGCTGTGTTTAGCAAAAAGACATACACACACAAAAAAAAGCTCAATATAAAAGTATAGAGTATCGCCACAGGTATTGATGCAAATTATCAGTACATGTCAGTACAAATTCACAAGCGGTATCGTCTGAGGTATAGAATTCTACTTTCAAAGGAATCATCACCCATTTCTAGCAGCTGCATAGATGATCTGAGGAGCAATCCAGTTCCTGCTTACCTCCTACAAGAAAAAGGAATTCCCTGGATGGTTTACAAACAAGCAAATTGTGCTCCCTGGCAACAGCTGATACATGCAGTTGGAAGCATAAATGCAAGAAAGCACCACTTCCACATTGGCTTTCTAACCTATATAACATGATGCCCTGCATCTGAAGACCGTATTTGTCAGACTTCATCCCACTGCTCTACAAAACCCACCTGTCTGTGCACAGTGTTTGCATTCAAACACTTTGAGTGATGGTCTGTTCCTAGGATGAAAAATCAAATTGAGACAGGCCAGGCCGCAGCACAAGCTCTGAAGATCAGTCAGTGCTAGGGAAATGTGAGGCTGGAGGGACAACAGAGGGCTGGGGGAGCTCAGCAGCAAGTCTGACATTTGATTGCTACAGAGTAACAGAAAGGATCGACTGCTTCAGACAAGCAGCAACAAGCTCCTCTAGGGAACAACTCACATTCAAGCATCTAAACCAGCCAAGGATTTCTTCCTCATTCTAAGCCTTCCCTTGCACCTTGCAGTTTCTCTCGGCAATGCCTTACCCAAGCAATTAATCTGCAGCTCCTTTGTCTGCGCACGCCCCAAGGTATTCAAGAAGAGACCACACAGCCTTTCCTCAAAGTGTGCTGAGAGCCGTTCCGTGCCAACAGGAGAGGAGTACAGCTTGCCATACAAGTAGCAGACAG